GTATGAATATTTCATTTCTGCCAATAGATCCTCCTAAATGTTACAAACTGGACCTTTTAATAGAGTTTTAAATAGGGCCCATTGATCCTGGTTGTGTCTATTTTGTTGTCAAGTTTGTGGCTTACTTCTGCTTTGTTGAGACAGTGAGAATGATCACATATTCATTTCAGGTGAGCTATTGATCAGAAGGTGCCGGGCCCATACACACATCACAGAGCCGGGCTCCCTTTTTGACATTTCTGCATTCAGCGACTATATTTTGCATCTGATTGACATTTCCTTGGTATGTATGTGTAAACATGTGGATCTTAAGATATTTCATTCATTCATGTGGATAATCTCCTCTCTCCCCGAGGTAAAAGCCCACAGGCCGTTTGGATGCTGGTCATGAATACAAAGAGCCCTACTGTATGCAGTTGCCTTTTTATTATTATGTTTAATATGTCTGGACCTAATGTGAGTTAGTGTTTAGTGTTTTGGTTAATGTCAGAATTTATGTAACTTCTGAGGCAACTTGTGATTCACTTTTCTGTAGCTATTGCCGTAGTTTCAAGTCATTCACGCCTGTTTTAAAATGCAGCTCTGTACTTTATGAGCTGGTTATAAAAGAACATTGATTCAAATCATCAAGCTTTTCATAGTTTAAATGACTTAAATGTCAGGGATCTTTATGGATTGGCTGTATTATGAGCCCAAAGAGTGTCATTTTGGCTGTTTAGCTTTAGACATTTTGTTACAATCCACATACCTCTCTAGAATAATGGTTGGCTAAATGCAACCAGCCGACTCTGTGAAACCCTGTTCATCTGTGGTTGGCAGCCATGTGGAGTATGAGTAAGCGTCCTTGGTCATGTTTATTTAGGTAGAGGTGGTATTTGAAGGGGAATTAGACTTGGAGGATTTTAATGAGACTGACAGAGCATACCTCTACGCTGGAGTTGAGTGCCACTGTGCGTCTGTCCTGTCAGGTGGTTGTACTGTTCCTTGGGTCTATGTGGGCCGTTTTTACATCACATTAACATGCAGTGTGTACATCTGAATTATATCCACAAAGATATTTATCCATATTTATGGGTCAGTGTAAATATACCCCAAGAAATATTACGGAAGCATTAAGCCTGCTTTGAATCTTATTGCTATAAGTACCATCATTTGATTTGTGGAAATGAGATTACATTCATGGCTCTGTTTACACCTGTGGCTTAGTTTGCTGTTTGGATACAGTCCAGATACAGTTTGTGTTTGGATTAGTGTTTTAATGCTGGGTGTAATTACGTAAGGAGTCCCTGTCCCACTTTGTTCCGCCTCGCTGTGTAAACCTCACCACAGTCTTTGTAAAACATGTGTCTTTGTAATATCTTGTCACATACGCAAGCACACACACTCTTTCTCAAAAAATGTTCTGCATTCAAGTCTCCTACATAACAGATGCGCACACAAACAGTCAACTTGACAAGGAGTCTCTTGCAAGAATATGATAAGGCAACGGCTCACACCCACGCTTGCTCGCACAACTACAGTCTTGTTGATTCTTTCCGCTGTTTGCGTTTGCAGCTTGCCAAGAAGCTCAGGCTTTGGACAGACATGCAGTACTGACACACGTACAGACAGAGAGACCTGACGGACAGAGTCCAGCTGGCGAGTCATGGCAGCAGCAAGCGGAACAGATGTGCGAGGGACTTTGATCTAGGTGAGTACCAAATGGGGTGAGGATCTGGGGGAGGGAAGGGGGGTTGTTGGTCTGTACCAATATTAGGAAATGGAATGTATAATGTGGGAAGGAGGCGGGTTGGAATAGGCGGTTGTTAGAGACACTTTTAACCTACATTTGTTACATTTTCGTGGCAAAACTTAATGCATTTGTCTTAAAAAAAATGTTTGAAACCACAAAAATCAAGGCCTAAATTAAGTGTTTTAAATCAAAACATTATAACTAGTGAATTCATAAATATTGCAGTGTCCCTGGTGCCATGTTTGTCAGCCAAGGCATACAGACCAGTATTGCAATAGAATTCTACATGGCATTAAAGTTGTCTTTGATAATGTACTTCTGCTGTTCTGCAGGTGCAGACATGTCATTGAAAATAATAAGTTGCCATGTTGTAGTTCAGTAGTTTCTCTCCAGCAAACTACATTTTGTTTTGCTTTTTAAGATGCACAAAACTATTCTCAGATGGCTAGCGTTGAACCAAATAGTGGGTAAGAGGAAATTGATGGTCCAGAATGAGAAATAAGGTTGATGATATGAATAGAAACACAAAAAAGAAGAAGGTGACAGAAGATCTAAATGCTACTAGTGGAGGAATACCAAATAGGATAGAGAACAGAGGATGCAGCAGACACTTGATCACATAAATGGCAGCTGGGTAAGAAGTTTTAGGTAGTATTCAGCCGTCATTTAAAAGTGGAAATTGCACCCAGTTCTAATAAAAGACTTAAGAGTGAGAAAAGAGGAAGGAGATCAGGTTTTAGAAGGGGAAATGAGGGCTTAGGCATGGAGGATGTGCTAACATGAGAGGCCAAAAAAACCCCCAATAAAATATATCCTTCAGGGGAAATTATGTTGGCCTGTGTGTTTCAAGCCTCACCCCAAAAACTTTCCATGTTAATTAGGTATTGTAAAACTAGCAAGAACAGCAAGAAAGCAAGAAAGCAAGAAAGCAAGAGCAAAAGCTAGATGAAAATATAGTGTAAAATAACACACTCTATTCTGTTAGAGGCCATAAGAATCACATTTTTTTTTGTTGAGAGGAGAAAATAGTAGATAATAGTGCATTATTGATATGACATATTGGCCTGCTGGTGTGTACAGGTTTGTCTGCTGTTTCAGTGTTTAATAAAACGTTTAACAAAGTGAAGAAGCTCTCCTTTTGGTTTAAAAGGTAAAAGTAGAGCAAATGTGGAGATATGAGAAATTCCAGGATTCAGTTCAAATCTATTCTCCATGTTCCCACATTTGGAGTATGATTTACCTTCTTATATTCAAAGTGAAACTAACATTTCACTTGGCAGTGCCTTCTGACATCAACGTTGCTGCATGTATCCATGAAAATTAAATCTGTGTGTAGGATTTGTTGAGAAATGCTGGGATATTTTAATCACCTCCATTCTATATTATCATACAGACGGAGCATCATGCAGAATCAACATGAATATGGTTTTGCAGATGTACGCGCGCCAGTGCCTGTGATATTGGATTTCCTGGCTGTGACTTAATTTCTGTTCTCTCAGGAAACTCAAAATAGTTTCAGTATTGAAAATGATGAAAACTATTGTGTGTGTTTTGTTTTTGTGCAAGCCTCGGTGTGTGTCTCCTGTGCGTGTGTCTGTATATGCGAGTGAAAGACAGTCCTTGCTGACCCTGCAGTTACAGCCAATTTGCTGTGATCACAGTGACAAGTGTCTCCATATGGATACTTAGTAATTAGCTAAGACTAGATGGAGAAAGGTTGGAGTTGTTGGGGCATTGGAGGACCTGTCAGAGGGCCCCACTCATCTCACCCCCCCCCCAAAATCTGTCAGGAGGCTTGTCTGGGGCCCATCCCCCCAGTCCCCTCCCTCACACTTGGCTGCTCCAGTTAATTGAAGCCACTTCAGATCAGTCAGAGGAGCTGGATCTGCACGCCTGAGCAGACCACGGCGCTCACCTGACCTGTCAGTCACTACTGCCAGCTGCCTGCCACACACAACCACATCCCAACACATTTAAATCCTCAGGGCAGAGCAGATCCCAGGGGGACGTTCATAATACATCCAACCAAACCCAGCTCACTAGATTTGTCCCAGTTTGTACTCTAAGCAAGGGTGCATTTACACCAGTCAGTTTTTAAATGTGTATTTGAATCCATGTGCTTTTAGTTGCTTTCATCCAGACAGGTAAGAGCAATGGCTATGTCGCAGAGACATCTGAAAATATGGACCTCAAGTGAACAGCAAGGCAGTTTGTTAGGAGTTAGACCTTCATCACAAGACGTGACCCTGAAATGCAGTTTTATGGTTTTATGGCTATAAGGAGACTGATGCTGTCATCTCATAGCCAGTACTCACACATGCTTGAAAAGCCAAGCAAAACAAAATGAACCAAGGGCAAATTTGCACTCAAGATTCAGTGAAATGCTTTTTCAATACATTTCTAACTCTGCAAAAAAACAGGCAAGAAGTGTTAAAGCTCAGTGCAAACAAAGAGCCAAGACTGCAAGTCCGCAAAGCTGAGCTGAAATGACACGGACTGAAATTGGATTTGTTTTGACTAATTTGCCTCCTGCATGGCTTTTGTTGATAGATCATGGCTGAATTGAAAATTGTGTGTGGTTATCATAAAAGCAACCAGTGCATGAATGCAACGGAGCAACTACTTGTCCCCTAATTTGGACCAAAATAAGCTGACTATGGTTTGCAAAGGCCATAAAAGTGATAGCTTCATTATCCCTGCAGAGCATTTCTCTTTTCTTTGGCCAGAGCACATGGTTAGATGCACAACCAGAAAGTGCTCATACCTAAAGGACAAAGGGGTTTGTTTGTCAGTGCATTCCACACATGACTGTCCCAAAGACAAATTATGCTAGGGTTTATGATTTGGCAACTCTGCGGTCTTGGCCAATTTATTCTAGGAAAATGACCTGATTATGGTTAGAAAAAAATTGGACTCATGTTTAAAAGAAACCAAGCTGGTCTTTTGATGTTATTCACAATGGAGAAACTGAAACATATATAGGTTGTTGAAAGAATTGGAACAAACACGCAGTTATGTAATTTGTTTGGTGAGGACAGTCTTACAGTTATCCTTGAGCAGGCAAGTAGTTCAGTGCCTTGCTCACTGACACATCAGCAGGGCGGATGTTTGCTGATAGTTTGCACCTTAACACATGTTGTTGAGAGATTGTCACTGCAACACCCTGTTTTCCATCAGAAATCCTACAGGAATTCTGCAGAGTTTAATACTTTCCTCTTCAATACTGTGCTCCTCTGTTGGTTCTTGCCATTAGGGATGTGTGAAGTAGAACCACAGGGAATAGATCTTTGTGAGACAACCCACTCGGGAGTGAACGTCTGAAATGAGAAGTGGAGCTTGTGTATTGTTTTAAATGCCAGGCCTCTCCTCATTCTGAGTGCTTTCTTGTGCGAGCCTTTAGTTGTAGCTCAGTCAGCTGACATTTAATGCTCAGCCATTACATACTCTGCTGCTGCTTTAGTATAGGCCTCGTTGTTACCGCCATGAATATGAATGGACAGATGTGACAGCTGGCCAGCCATATGTGACAAGTCTTTTAGATCTTTATGCCTTAATTATCTCTTCCCTTGGGACCAATATTGACATTTTAGGTCTTAATGCTTAGACCTTACGAACTGCCAGCTTCCAGTTGGCATTGTCTGTCTCTTGGCAACCTCCAAGCCAACCGAGAAAGGTGCTTGATAACTGCTCACAGCTAAATCCATTTCTGTCAGCTGTGGTGAGATGGGTGATTTCAAATTTATCACAGTGTTATCTGTATATCATGTCGTTGTTTACTGATAAATGGCTATGTCAAAGGTTTCCTCCGTTGTTATGCCGTCACACCGGTGACAGCTGCGGCCCGGAGGCATTATGTTTTCGGGTTTGAAAGCACGTACGTCCGTCCCATTCTCATGAAATTTTTCAAATTTGGTACAAACGTGAAAACTGATTAGATTTTGGTGATCAAAGGTCACGTCTGTCCCATTCTCATGAACACGTGGAGAGAATTTCATTACATCTGGCACAACGCCCTCTATCCTTAGACCCTTGACTCGGATGAGGAACAACTCCCATTAATGTTTTACACCTGGGTGAAATGAGCCGGTGGCTGAAGGAGCTACCCATCTGCCACTGCTCGTTGCAGAGAGGTTGAGAAGGATTATCCAAGATGGCTATGATTTTGCCCCTCATCCTCCTCTCCGCCACTGCCTCCACACTGTCCAGTTCCAACCTGATCACCTAGCTGGCCTTCCTTAACAGCTTTTTGAGGCTGCTGACCTCTCTTGCACACCACTGTAAAGAACAGAGCGCTGGCTAATACAGACTGATAGAAGATCTGCAGAAACACTCTGAAGGAGTCTCCTCAGGAAGAACAGTCTGCTCTGTCCCTTCCTGAAGATGGCTTCAGTGTTGTGAGTCCAGCCTCTTCACTTCCTCTTCAACCAGGATAGGGGACCTCCTGTTCCTCTGGTTGTCCATCACAAGCTCATTGGTTTTGATGATGTTGAGCTTCAGGTAATTGTCACTGCACCATGTGAGGGAGTTCTTTATCAGCCCTCTGCACTACTCTGTAAAAATAGTCTCTAAGTGAACTGGACTCATACATATCAATATAGTGAATCTTTCATTTCACCAAAAAATACACAGTCTTCACTACAGTATTATGAGTCTGGACAGACATGGATGTAAATGGCAACATGACTGATTAATGGAGGCATAGGACTGTGAGGCAGTAATTCTAGCTTCTTAATGAAGTTTTCGTGGGAGTTTTCAGTGAGGGTCTGAGGTTGGAAGGCATCTTTTTCATTTAATTTTATAGTGTGGGTGTTGAAAAGCCCTTTGAGACTTACTGTGATTCTCTATACAAATATAATCAGTTATACAAATGAAATCAAGTTAATTAATAACTGAAAGTAGAAGTTGAATTACTTTGAACACTGCATCTATAAATATCAAATTTTGGCTGCAATTTGCAA